GGGAGTTCTCAGCCAGGCAGGATTATCCCAGCTCTCCTCGGCCCTGGCTCCCAGGGCAGCCTCCTGCTGCTGCCCATGGGAGGTGCGAGGGCTGCTCATGGAACTGCAGGGGGGTTTGCACTCCCTGGGAGCCCTCCTGCATCCCCCAAATGCTGCCATGGATAGGGGACCTGGGAAGGATGGTGTGCTCTTCTGAGTGAGCCAACAGCTTGGGAAAGAGTCCCCATGGCCCGTGCAACTGCCAAACCCTCTGCAAGGGCTGCTGTGACCCCTCCCCGAGGTGTGGCCCTCTCCAAGTGTCCCTGATGGAGGGGTTCTGGGATCACCGAGCACCAGGAGCCCCGTGTGAGCTGTCAGAGGGGGAAAGGCCCTGACCAGAGCCACCAGCTGGGCTCGAAGGACCTCCAGCACGGATGATTGGAAAGGATTTTCTAGCTAAATTGCTGAGCAGATGGATTTACCCTGGACTGGTCCTTGTGGACTCTGGAACATTTTCTCTTCTGTCACAGTTCCTTTTTATGACCTGCCATTTGCTCCAGCAAGCGAGAAGTGAGCCCTTGGCACGCAGCTCCCGCTCCGGCCGCGGTTCAGGAGCGCAGCAGCCGTGCTGCCGGGAGCCTCGGCTCCTTTTCAGGAAAGTGCTGGGGCCTGGCAGGACACCCCTGCCCACTCCGGGCACGTGGGGGCTGGCAGGGGCCGGAGGGGTGGCAAGGGGCAGCAGCGGCTGAGGCAGAGGAGCTGGCAGGGCTGGCACGGGGCACGCTGTGCCAGAGATACAGCCCCGGGTTTATAACAGATCATTGCAGTGACCACCTGCAGCAGGGCTCCAGATGGGAGGCTGTGGTGCAGGGGAAGCGTGAAGCCACATCCTGGCTTGGCAGATCCCTCTGTGGTGGCAGCATGGGCAGAGGGACAGTGGTGACTCCGGGGAGCACTGGGTTTTCCCCTTGCTCCGCCGTCAACACTTCCATAAGGCGATTCTGTCATCAGCACTTCCACATGGTGATTCCACTGGCTCTTTTGGCTTCTACTGTCCCAGCTGGTGACTGATATGTCTCTTTCTTAGAAGAAGGGGAAGGACAACACAATCTTCCACCCAAAGCCCTTCCCCTTCCTCCAGCAGTGTGCCTGCCATTTACATTAAAGGCTATAATGGGTTGGAGTAAATGGAGCAGGTTTGCAATTAGTTTTCCAAGTACTTATCTCATTAAAGTAAATGAATTATTGATTTAGTGACACTCATGCTTTTAGTGAGCAGTACAGTGCCATCCCTGCTCCCTTGCTGGCTCCCTGCAGCCGGCCCTGCACGCCTGCTGCCGTGAGCACACGTGTGTGGGCGCGTGGGCACTGAGCTGCAGCTCTGCCTGCTCCTTGGCTGGGGAGCCAGCACAGCCCTCTGGGCAGGGGAGCTGGACCTGCCTGTGTGAGGGGCCCTGCTGAGCTGAGCCCCAGGGAGCGATGGGCTGGGGACCTGCTGCCCGAGGGTACACCCTGCAGTGCTGCTGGGCACATGGCAGCAGTGCCAGGACACCTCCTGCCAGCCCATCTGTGCTGTGCAGAGGATGACAAGGAGGGAGGAAGGCAGCTCACCCATGCCACCGGTGCTTGGCTTGCTCTGGGTCTGTTAGTGCAGCACAGGGCTGGCATGGGGCTGGCAGGCAGTGTGAGGAGCTGCATGTGCTTCTTGGGCCATCCTGGCACTTGCAAGGGCAGGGAACAGCATGTGGGGGTGCTCAGCACTGGCAGAGTCTGGCAGAGTGTGGCTGCAGGAGGATGAAGCACTGACAGGCTGTGCTGGAGCCAAATGCTCATGGCTGAACCTGCCACCCCCAGCTAGCTGCTGATTCAGCGCTTTTGGGCTCCTCTGGACAGAGATTTAATCTCTCCTGTAAGATAAAACACTCCATTAATGGAAAGCTGTGGCTCGGAGCTGCCCCTCGCTGCTGTCCAGGCAGGAGGGGCTGCACTGTCCTGCTGGGGCTGTGGGGGCTGCCAGCACAGCCAGACACGCTCCCCGCAGCTCCCGTGCCTGAGGGGTGCCACGAGGGCTGTGCCAGGGGTGCCAGTGGGATGCCAGGGGTGCCAGGCTCCTCCAGTGGGTGCCCCTGGCTCACAGCAGGTTCCGGCAACAGCACTGGAAGCACTTTGATCTCGTGGCACTGGAAGCCCTTTGGTGTCCCGGCCTGCAGGAAGGAGGTGGTGATGCCACAGGAGCCACACTCACGGGCTGGGAGGAGGTGCCAGTGGCCAGCAGGAATTGCAGCAAGGATTTCGGCTGGGAGCCTCACAGCTGTTACTCAGGTGGGGTTGGTGGCCAGCGATGCTGGCGTGGTGTGGCAGTGCCACACTGTCACCTGTGCCCCCCGAGGGAGCTGCACAGGAGCTGGTGCTCAGCCAGGACCCTGGCGGGCCATGCACCTGCCACCCAGCACCACGTGCTGTCCCTGTCCCCAGGATGGCACTGCTCTTCCCACACCTGAGCTGCTGCCTGGAGGGCTCTGCTGGGCAGTCCTAGAGCTGTCCTGCTGCTGATGGCCCCTGTCTGCCCCACCAGGGCTCCTCTGGGCACTGCCCGAGCCCCTCATGGCTCAGCTCCTGCCCAGCAGTGTGGAACAGCCCTGGCTCGGCCCTGGGCAGAGCAGGATCATGGGGAAATGTGTCCTGAGAGCTGCTGTGCAGGAGCCAGCCTCTGCCCCAGCCCCTGCCCCTCCTGCCCCTGCCTCCAACGCTGCTGGGAACGGGATGTTTTATATTCCTTAGCTGGGGGAAAAAAAAAATCCCTTCTCATTTAATTAAAAATGTTGACATTGTGCCTGGCCATCCCACCCGCCAGAGAAGGTGGTTATAAATTAAACATTAAACCTTTAATGGCCCATAAAGAAATTTTCGCTGCTGTTCTGTATATGGGGATATAAATAGAGAGGGCTGTGGGGGAGGGGTGGGACATTATTGTTCCTCAGCCAGATAATCTTTGCTAATGAATTTAATTAAAAGCAAAATTAATTTAGGATTTTTGGTGGAGGGAATGGGGGTTAAAATGTACTTTGAGAAACTACCAAGAAGTTTCCCAGCAGATCAGAGCCAGGCCTGCCTTGGTTGCAGCGTGGGGAGAGGGAGTGATGAGGTGCAGCTTTCATGGGATCTGTGCAGCGGGGTGACACGGGTTGATTTCTTGTGCAGACCCCCTGATTCTCACCCAGGTTTAGCTGGGCTGGGATCACCTGTGCTGGCAGTGAGTCCCTTTGAGGCTGTGTGAGGTTCCAGGTAGAGTCAGCCAGCCTGGACTGCTGCCAGAAAAGCAGAAACTGGACCAAGAACCCCCAGATCCTGCCCAGAGCTGCTCCTGCCTCTCTCCCATCGATGTTGTGCCAGGAGCTTCCCTCTCCCACTGTGGACAGGGAGGCTCTGGCTGAGCTCCCACTCCCTGTGTGCTGGGACCACCACAGGGGTCTGCCTGGGCTGGAGCTGGGCTTGGCGAGCCCCTGTCCGTGCCTGGCACATCCCAGCTGAGGCACATCCTGGCTGCGGGTCCCACCTTGCTGTGGGGAGCTTCTCAGAAGGCGCCTTCCTTGGGAAATGTGTTTGGGAAATGCGGCGTTACCCACGGCTGAGCCTCCCCCAGGAGCGCGCCGCCTCAATTATTCATGGCAGAGCAGGCAGACTGGGCTCCCAGCTCTCCCAGCTCTCCCAGCCCTGCTGCTGGAGTGCTCTGGGCCTGCTGTGCCATCTCCTGCTGCCAGCCGGGATCCTGGTGGGCGCTTCCTTGGCGAAGCCATGGCACAGCTCAGGAGCGGTGGCTGGGGTCTGCCAGGCCTGCAGGGCCAGGGCTGTCAGCACGCTGCTGGGAACCAGGGAGTCCCCAACCATCTTTTTTGGGACAGCCACATCCCACAGCTGGGTCTGCCCTGTCCTGGTGGGAGGGGAGACCCCCAGCCTGGTGAACGCATCGTGCAGGGTGAGAGCGTTGGGAGGGTTTTTATCATGAGAGTGCTAATGGAAGTCAGCACCAGCCTAATGAGCTGTACTCCTCCATGAATCTGATTCATTGAGGCAAGAATTACCATAATTGATTATCCTGCTGCGCGGCTGAGAGCCGTGTTTGCTAACACCAGTGCCTGGGAACAGCCTCTGTGCTTCCTGAGCGGCCGGACCGTCTGTGGGCCGTGTGCTCCTGGCACTGCCGTGGGCTCGGGGCAGCCTCCAGGCACGGGGTCCCTGCAGCCACCCCCGGGACCCTCACCTGGGGGTGCTGGCCCTGCAGTGGGGGCTGAGCTCTTGGGCAGGTGGGACTCAGCCCTTGCTGGCCTCCACAGCAGCGGGTACAGGCACACACAGCCCCCCCATTCTTTAGCCACTCCTGGGGATGTATCAGCCATTCTCATTATTTCTGAGGGTCTAACATGATTGATGAATGTTTGCCTTGGCCACGCTGCAAAAGCCAATTAGCTGAAGTGCAGCTTTCAGGAAGTTTTCTTTGAAATTTGGCTTAATTTCCAAGAAGTGTCCAGAGCCAGGAGAGCAGCGGAGCCGCGTGCCGCAGGGGTTGCTCCTCACAGGAGAGGAGTCACTGTGCTGCCGTGGGCAGAAGGCCTGGGATGCACCAACCCAGATGTGCAGCCAGCACTTGGATGGCAGCTGTGCCCTGTCCCAGCCCGTGGGGGTGTGTGGGGCTGTGCTTGCAGGGGAGCCCAGGAAAGGACCCCTGGTCTGTGTGAGCTGGGTTGGGTTTGAGGTGCACTGGTGGAGCTGAAGGGGGGGATCCTGTGCCCCTCACCCTGGCATGGTGCTGGTGGGTGCTGCTGCTGCTCGGCTGCCCTGGGCTGAGCCCTGGCCTGGCCACCAGCCCCTGACCAGCACAGGCTCCCTAGTGCCCAGGGAATAACACATCTGTGCTCATATCCCAGCACCGTGCAGTCGATGAGCAGACAGCACTGACTGTAGCAGGTTAGTGATGATGATCATTGATTTTAATTCTTCCTCCTCTTCCCTGTCTTTTCTAGAGAGCCCAGTGCAAGCGCCGCGGGAGGAGCTGGGCTGAATAAAAGGTACGGAGGGTTTGGATGGCAGTTCCTGCGTTGGGCTCTGCCTTGGCTGCTCCCGGGTCCCTCCTGCACGCTGAAGCTGCATGTGTGGGGCTGGCAGGGGGCAGGGCAGGCCAGCAGCCTCAGCCTGTGGCTCAGGGCTCGGGCAGGGCTGGTGGGCACAGAGCCGTGCTCAGGGCAGGGATGGGGGGAAGGCTGCCCCCTCCCCTCTGCCAGCAGCCCCCTGCTCCCCCCTGGTGTTGGGCCCCACGCAGGTGTGAGGTGAATCCTGCATGAGGGGAGCTGAGAGTGACGTGCCTGTGAGTGTCCGTGTGTGCTGACCTGCTGTCTGTCCATACCGTGCGGCTCCCAGGAGCCTTCCCTGGAGGACCCAGGGTCCCTGTCCCTCCTGGGGGCAAAGAGCAGCCCACAGCCCCAGTCTGTTGCAGTTGCCCACCCCAGGAGATGTTTGTCCCCGGGGTTCTGGGAGGTGTCACAACAGCTCCCAGTGTCCCCAGGCTGAGGCAGGGCATGGCAGATGTGAGGGGAAGGTGGACCAGGGCAGGTGCCCTCTGCCAGCCTGGTGCGCACTGGTCAGGTGTGGGTGACCCCTTCCTGTCCCACCCTCACATTACTGGACTTTGCAGCAGTAGGGGCACCCCACTCCCCCAAGAGGGGACCCTGCATCCCCCCAGGGTCCATCCCACTGAGTACAGTGCTCCCCTGTCAAAGGCAGTGAAGCAGAGGAGCAAAGAAAGCCGAGGGGCTGCAGAGGATGAGCCTGGTGCATCCATAGCTCTGGGCCCTGGCATGGCCTGAGGATGCCAGTGGGCCCAGGGGCGATGGGACCAGGGCAGGGGCACTGTGCTGCAGGAGCTGCCCCTTGCAAAGCTATGGAGAGGTGTCTGGCAGGGGAACACTCCCATCCTTGGCACGTACAGGACAAGGATGGAAGTGACCTGCTGGGAGGGATTGTGGTCTGGAAGGGTCCTGAGATCCCGTGGGAAATGTAGAAATAGAGCTGCTAGGAGGAGCAGGTGGGCTGGGTGGGAGCAGGGCTTGCAGGGAGCCAGGCTGGGCTGGGCTGTGTGCCTGGGGACACTGGCCAGTGCAGGGGGGGCTGTGGGGCCAGGGCTGCCCCCACCCCTGGGCTTGCTGATGTCTCAGTGCTTCACTTCCCGTGCTCAGGAGGGGCTTTGCTCAGTGCCCTGCTGTGTGTGGGGTCGGAGGGCACAGGTCAGCCCTGGGCTGTGGCCACTGGCTGTGTCTGGAGGAGGGAAGGGCAGCGGAGTGGGTGTCCTGCAGCTCAGCTGCCCCGTGCCCGCTCTGCGTGGGACGTTTGGGATCTGGCTCTGGGCTCTGTTTGTGTGGGTGTGGGGGGCTGCACTGGCAGAGGGTGGAAAGCTGCTGGGAAGGAAGCTGGGGAGGTGCTTGTGCTGCTGGCCCTGCCCTGGCTCCAGGAGGGTTCTGAGCCCTGCCCAGTGACCCCTCAGGTTTTGTCTGCTGGTGATGGAGGGGTTTCCTTCTGCTGCGCTGGGCCCCTCTGTCTGTCCCATACAGCAGGGCTGGCGGGTCTGGCAGGCTGGGGGGGACCCCAAGTCACAGCTGGGGCTGCCTTTACAGGCTGCAGAGAGAGAGGAAAGGGTTTGGATCACGGAGATATAAGAGGGAGCAGGGAGCCCCCTGCCCCAGCTGCCTGCAGTGGTGCCTCTGCTGCTTTATCACCCTCTCCTGGTGCTGAATTATTGAGAGTGTTGCTCTCGTTTATTGCCGTGCTGGAGGAGAGCTGCCTCCAGCCTGGTGCTGCTCTGAATATGATTATGGGGCTGTAGATGTCAGAACCAGCTGGGCCCCGGAGACCAATCTGCTGCCCCCCTCACTCCTCTGCTTCCCTTATCCTTATTTATTCCCTCATACCACGCCTGGTTCAGCGCTCATGGTCCCCTCGCTCCTTGCACCGCGTGCCCCTGCAGGACAGAGATTTAGAGCCCGAGGAGCAGCACTGCCCGGCTGCCAAGCCTGCACTGAGTGCCAGGGGCTGCTGGGGTTTGTGTGCAGGACCCCCGACCCACCCCCAGGGGCCACGCCATGGCCAGCCCCCCCTGTGTCCCTGTCCCGTCCTGCTGCTCTGCCCGGGGCTCTGCCGGGGCTGCCCTGGTGCTGGCTGGGATTTCTGGGTGCAGTCCATGGCCACATCCCGGGCTCCAGGGACTGTCCCCATGGCTCCCCCTTGCACATGGGGGCTGGGCGGTGCTCTGTCCCCCTCGGGGCGCTTCTCCAAAACCCGGGGGCACAGAGCATCCCAGGCGGAGCAGGCTGAGCATGCCGGCCGGCCGTGCCCGCGATGGCAGCGGGGCTCTGGCACCCGCGGGGCCGGCAGCCGGCTGGCACCTCGCAGGTTAACTGTGAGCGGCGGGTTCCCCTATTGACAGGGTATCTTGAAAAACGCTGAGGCAGACATCGGCTGCTCGGAGTGTCAGCGGGAGCCGCGGCCCCCGGCGCCCAGCCCGGTCCCGCACCCTCCCCGGCTCACCCCCGGGCTGGCGTCCCTCACACGCTCGCCCTTGCCTTTGGCCCTCGGAAACACTGGAGAGGATTTAATTTTTTTCTTCCTCCCCATTTTCCCCGGGGTGGATAAAGCGCTGCCCAAGGCGCTGCCCCGGTGCCCCCGGCCCCTGCCCTGCCCCAGCAGCGTGCCGGGGGCTGCCCGCCGGCTCCGAGCCCTCCAGGGACGGAGGCCAGCGAGCTCCGGGAGCTCCGGGAGCAGCGGGGGCACCGGGAGCACCGGCCCTCGGCGCCGGAGCCGGACAGACGGCGGGCACAGAGCAGCCCGGAGGAGCGGGGCCGGTGCAGCCGCGTCGGGAGCAGCTCCCATCGCCCTCCCATGGCCCCCCTCCCATCGCCCTCCCATCGCCCCCCTCCCATCGCCCCCTCCCATCGCCCTCCCATCGCCCATCGGCCTCCCAGCCAGCCCCGCCGAGCCCCTCAGCCCCGATGATGTATTTTTGGGTAGGTACCGCTGCCAAGGGTGGGCGCTGCCCTCCCCGTCTGCTGAGGTTTCGCTCAGGATCGGGGTGGATTTGCACTCCGGGGCTCCAGGGAGAGCTCCCCCTGTGGTCGGCACTCTCTGCCCGGCTGGCAGCAGGGCAGGGCTGCAGGGCTGGGGCCAGGCAGGGGTCTCTGCCTGGGCACCCCCGGCTGCCCTCCTGTTTCTGCACTGCCCTGCCCAAGCTCCGTGCGGTGCTGCCTGCCCTGGCCAGCACCAAACCCTTGCCCCAGCTGTGCTTTGGTGGTCGCTGGTGGGCTCTGGCTGTCCTGGGAGGGGACGGTGCTCTGTGGTGACAGTGGGACATTCAGGTGATGGCTCTGTGCAGAGCTGCAGCCCCCTCTCACGGTGCCCACCCAGGATCTTGGCAGATGCTTGTGGGGCAGCCCCCACATTTTGTCTCAGGCCTGAAATTCCTGAGGCTACTGAGGGAAACCTACCATGGGGACCCTGAGATCCCCTTGTGGACCCCAAAGTCCCCCCACAGCAGTCCCTGCTCAGGGGTTCTGAGGCTTGGGGGGATGCCCAGAGCGAGGGGCATGGCTGGGGAGTGGGCTGGGCATGGGGGCTCAGCTCTCCCTGCTCTAGCAGGGCACAAGGCCATGGCTGGAGGGGGGACAGGCTGACACCTACCCAAACATCTCAGAGCTTGGAACAGCCATGGAGAGCAGGGGACAGGGTCTGTCCAGGCCCTTTGCTGGAGGCTGGACACTGAGTGTGGGTGTGAGCCCCAGTCTGGGTGCAGCTGGGACAGTGAGCAGAGCAGAGCTGGAGCCAGCAGTGCCCCATGGAGCTCCACTCGCTCCCCAGAGCTGGGAGCTGGGCTGTATCAGGCTCTGCACCACCCCAGGGTCTTCCCATGGTACCCCAGCCTACCAGCTGAGGCTGCAAGCCAGTGGCACCTGCTCCTTCACCTGCCCCCTGAGAGGTGGCGAGGGGCAGCAGCGCTCTGGTGGGGCTTACAGGCTCCAGGGAATTGTGCTCTCCTGGATTTGGGAGCAGGGGACAGCGTGGGCAGAGGCAGTTAAAGGGGGAAAGGAGCTTATGGGGAGGAGGAGGATACTGCGAATTCATTGTTCCTCAGGAAGCAGCTTTCAGGTGCAGGGTGCTTTGTCATGGGGATGTCAGCGCTGCCACGGCTCCAGCGCCTGTCAGGGCTGGCACAGCCTCCTGCCTCGGTGCTAACTGTGCCCAGGGACTGAACCCCACCACAGCTGGAGAGCAGGGCAGAGCTGTGTGGCTCTGCAGGGCTGGGCTGAGCAGGCACGGGTGGCATGGGGTGCCCATTCCCACCGGGCACAGCATCCCACACCGCTCTGGCTGTGGGGCAGTGGCACTCCAGGCTCTCTGTTCCCTGTCCTGTGTGGCACACAGAGCCAGCCAGCCCAGGACAGCCGGTCCCAGCCCTGCATGGTGGCATCCCCAGCTGTGCTGGGAGGGGCAGGGCGAGGGCTGTGCTCCCGGCAGAGCAGTGAGCTTTGTCACTTCTCGGCATCGTGGGCGTCTCTCCGTCGCGGCGTGGGAGGAAGCACAGAGTCTGGTACCCCTGTGTGACAGGAGAGCTCTGGTGGCTCAGTCATCAGCACCTCAACGGGCTGAGATGCTAAAGCAAAATGCCTTCAAACAAACAGTAATTGCAGAGAAATTAAGTGTGTATGGGGCAAGGGGAAGAAGGGGTCTGTAAATGCTACGATTTATAAAGTGTGCCCTGGGTCACAGCACCTGTTTAGCACTAACTCTGTGCATTTAAAAACTCTGTGCATTTAGCATCCTCTCTGTGCATTTAAAAAAAAAATCCTATTATGAGGATGGAGTGTTTGCTTCTGGGGTATCTCCAGCCTGGTGTTCCCCCATGCCCACCTCACCTGTCTGCTGCTCAGGTGGGTCCCAGCCCAGTGCCCCTGCCCACACTGGCAGTGCCACCCCTGCTTGGGGTGGCTTGGTCCCCTCCTGTTGTGTGCCATGTGCTGGTACCCTG